CTGTTTATTTTACTATTGATTCTTTTCACTTAAGTAATGATAGTCAATTTTTATACAAAGTTTTCATCTCAGCAGACAAATGTATTCAGACGAGCACACACACTAAAAAGCTTGCCTTCTGTTTCTATGATTAATTGAGATGTAGAGAATGATGGGTGTAGGGTAAAAATGGAAAGGCAATTAGTGCAACTAGGCATGAAATACATTCATATACAAGCAGAACCTCTCCCCAGCTAGTGATCTTTTTCTGGGCTCTGAGGATTTGCATCCCATTAGTAAGTCACTGGCATGGAAATCTTCAGCCTTTGGGGAGACCAGAGTATTAAAAATAGAATTAACTCTAACTGCAAACCAAGTCAGCACACTAGGCCATTAATTCTTCTGCTTGGGTATATATCATGCTGAGCTTTGGTGTGTGGGCTTCTGAAATGTTAGGAGTGAGTTTTATAGAGCATTGCCAGTACTAAATGATAGTTATCTATCATCTCATCTCTCACCCTCACTACTGAGATTTCAATATCTCTCATGATCCAAAACCTGAAATATAGGCAGAAGGTTTTGCTAGAAACATTAAATAGGGGCGTTCTTTAGAGAAGTTGTATATTATATATTTTGTGAACATAAATCGATGTTGTGCTTTATAGTATGTCAGAGATTCCTTATTTTCAAAACCTTATGTCCTCAGATAATCACAATGCCTAAAATGTTATCCTTTCTAAAACTGAGAATTATGCCTTTTTGCATAACTCCATCAACTAATGATAAAAGTTGCCTCATATTATTATTTTTAGAAATATTAGTGCTATTGGAAACATTTTAAAATCAACTTCCAAGTATAAAATTTATTGAAATATTTAATATATTCAAGCTACATACAGTACTCTCAGTTTCTAATAATCTCTCTTTTCTTTTCTTCCCTTGCCCTTCTCCAGCTTCTTTGGGAATCTCTGACAGATATTATTTCTTTAATCATCCCAGAGCAGTACAATTATTAACAGCTGCCATTGATTGATTGCCTGTCTCAGGGTTTCTCATACTTGGCACTATTAACATTTGGGTAAAGCTAATACTTTGTCATGGGATGCTGTCCTGTGCTTTGTAGGATGTTTGGCAGTACCCCTGGCCTGTACCCATACCAGATGCCTGTAGCTCTCCATACTGACAGCCAAAAATGTCTCCAGATATTGCCAAATGTCCCCTGGAGGAGAAATCTTCCCTGGTTGTGAACCACTGGCCTGTTCTCTACTAGACATTATTTCATTTGATCCAATGGTAGCTGCAAGATATGTAGGACTGGCTGGGTGCGGTGGCTCACACCTATAATCCCAGCACTTTGGGAGACCGAGGCGAGCGGATCACCTGAGGTCAGGAATTCAAGACCATCCTGGCCAACGTGGTGAAACCCTGTCTCTACTAAAAATACAAAATTAGCCAGGCATGGTGGCACATGCCCATAATCCCAGCTACCTGGGAGACTGAAGCAGGTGAATCACTGGAACCCAGGAGGCGGAGGTTGCAGTGAGCTAAGATTGCATCACTACACTCCAGCCTGGGCGACAGAGCAAGACTCCATCTCAAAGAAAAACAAAAATGATATGTAGGACTATATTAATCAGGATCCTGGCAGGGAACAGATCTTTGCAGTATGGGTCATAGACTTTTATGAAGGGAGTACTTAACAAGGAAGTGAATAAGGTTAAATGAACTGCCTAGGGAAGTGGGGGTACCCAGAAAATAGCAACAGTGGGAGGTCATTCCCACAAAGAAGAGAGGGAAGGAAATTTTTCCTGGAGTGCTGGAGAGCTGGAGCCATGGAATAGGGACTTCCAGAGGGAGATGAAGTCAGGAAGAGACATAGCCATGGCCAGTGATGCAGCATTGTGACAGGGAGAGTGTAGGACAGCCTGGCCTCTCCCTCCTCCTTAATTCTTTGGCCACCAGCCTGTCCTGCCAGTAGATTAAGCCAAAGTGAAATCCAACCAGTGGAGAACTAGAGTGTTGCAGCCCCAGTATTCAGCCGCCATGGGCTCAGAGAAGGAAGGAAAATTGAATCTGTTGGGGGGAAAAATGAAGAAAATCCCTTCAACACCCCATTTTAACATGAGAAATTGAGGTTTAATGATATAAAGTTATCATCCAGGCATCTGTTTGACTCCAGGCACAATGAAGGTATTATCTTAGTTGGTCTGTGTGAATGAACTGATGTTCAGCAAGACTATGAATTATTCAAGGTTACTGATTTTATTAAGTGGTAGATACAAGACTAAAACCCAGTTTTCATTCCTCTTCTGGTGTTTACTTTTGTATGTTGACCATTGAAAGAAATCTGAGAGCTGAATATCTGGCCAATTCTCAAGTATACAAACAGGAGAGAAAGCTATCTGCTGACCTTAAAAATCATTTCTTTCTGAAAATCTTGGAAAATTCTAGGTTTCGTTTAGAATGTTTAAATGGCATATGCTATTTTTCCAATCTGTCAGCACATTTTTATCTTGATTGCAGATATACTCAGCCGCTGCTGATGCAATATATTAGGAGAGAGAGGAGTACAAGACTGAGACTCAGGAGATTTGGGGCCCAGTTCTGGATCAGCCCCTCTTAGCTGTATAACTAGCCTTCAGAAATAGTACCAATAATATGTTTCATAAACCCTTCCCTTCTACATTCACCCAGATCTTCACAGTTATTCTTAGGTATCTAATTGGAAAGGCATTAAGCTATGTTTCACAAGTGACGAATCAGGCTTAGAAAGCACTAGAATCTCACTGCAAATTTCATAGCGGGAAAGTGGTCCCATGCAGACTGAATTCCCATCCCTCACTGAAAATGCATGGTCTTTTCTAGTCCACCCACTGCCTTTTGAAGTGATCAATTGATTTACTCCCTATAGACTGCCAATTTGCAGCATTGAATCCATCAGGTTTCATTATAAAATCATATCTCCATCTAAGTTTTGAGAATCTGTGATTTCCTATGGTTATTAGCAAGGCTACAGAGGATACCAATGTAGTTAGCACCTAGGGATTCATGGTTCTTTATTTTTCCTTTCTAGGTTTTAGATAAATATATTTATTATCTATAACTTTTCAGAGGCAAGATAAATATTTTTAAAGGAATTTAAAAATAAATGTGTACATGGAAACATATCTAAGTACATTAATACAGTCCCAGTATCTCACTTTATTCCTGGGTAAGTTGGGAGTTAGAAACTGAGATAGATTCCTACACTAAGGTAAAGTATGTTGCCACTACTGGAAGGTCTGGCAAGAATCCTAATCCTTTCCCAAATTAGTTGGTTGATTTGCCTCCGTGTGGGAGTCCCAGCAAGTGATATATTTCAGATCTCTATCACTTTGAGCTTGTGTTCACCCCTGATCTCTGCCCCACCTTTTGACACCCTGCTTTTGCAGCATTTTCAGGCTTTTGATTTTGTTATGTTTTCAGTATTTTCAGGCATAAAATCAGGTTTACAACACAAAAAAGTAGCTAGCTTTATTTTTTTGTATCTGAACTTCATTGTTAAGTTCCTATTTCACCAAGCCAATTCCAAGAAAACGTATAATGCAAGAGTTCTCCGTCCAAGCTTAAAGCAAAAACTATAGATATTTGAAGACTAAAACAAAAAAAAAAGTGGAGAAGAATTGTAAGTTCTACTTTTGATATCCCTTGCAGTCTGGCAAAAATATAAATTCCTTCAAAAATATTTTCACTGATAAAATCTAGCTACATTATAACATTGTATCTCCTCTAGATGATTAGTGGTGGTTTGGGAAAAACTGTTTTGTAATTTTTATGATAGTAATACTTAAGGAAAGCTGCAGCAGCAACATTTTCAGTATTTAGAATAGACTTATGCCAGACTTCCTGGGTACAGAGCCTGGCTTCATCCCTTTTTACCTCTGTAACCTTGGGCAAGATACCCTCTCTCTGTGTTTTGGTTTCCTCATTGATCTAATCAAATTATAAATAGGCATAGGCTTTCTAGATGTTTTTATGGTTAAACAAGTTGATATTGATAAAACATTTAGAATAGTACTGGAGCATAGAAAAGACTATATAAATGTTAATTGTTATCAGAAATATCCTTTTCATGATGATCATCACCACCACCATCACCGCCATCACTACTACCACCACCATCATCATCATCCACTTCTGCCGCACAGAGATGCAATCCAATGTTTCCATTCTTCTAAAGTATAATTATTTTAAAATAAGTGGTATTTTTTAAATAGTGAAGCTCTATAATAAGCTTCACTGTTTAGAATACAAAATAAATGGTAACATACATGTGAATAATGTGCATTTGTATTATGGAATATATAACCTAACTCAGAACCTTCAATTCGAAGACTTAGCCACCTTTTCTTTCCAGCTGATAGTATACTGAATGTATAGAATGTCTTATTTGCATTGATTCTAGTTGGTTTGGTGTCATTACACAGAGCATGTTTTCCCCAGGTTTTAGGTTAGAAACTACTGATAAAGAAATGTTCCAGGAGTCAGAATTAGACACAAATTATATGCTGCAGAGGTGTCTTCTTCTTACCGCGAGCCAGGTCAGAGTCTCTAAAATCATATTAAGTTACTGTTTTAGTGGTTATTAAGTTTCACCCTTGAGAGAATTAAAAGGCCTGAAAATGAAGTATAATAAATCTTACTGTGACCCAAACACAATTCGTAATTAAACGTCCCATTAACAATCCCAAATCTGCTAGATAAAATAAGTAGAAAATTTATATTTTTGTTTACTTTTTACTTTCATATTTAGAGAAGTTGAAAAAACTTTCACACATTTCATAAAAATAATTGCAACATTTGCCTGTTTCATTAATATAGAGTCAATGCCTCATTTATGTGCTTGAGTTTTTCATTTGAGAATGAGAATGGACCAAGAAAAGGGTGAGACTTTTTTTTTTTTTTTTTTTTTTTTTTAACACAGGAGCAATTGGCTCTCTATTTTTTTAATTTTTATCTATTTTTTTTGTCTCAATCCCCAGCCTCTGAGCCCAACTTGAAGGTGCGGTCCAGGTTAAAACAGAAAGTGGCAGAGAGGAGAAGCAGCCCCTTACTCAGGCGGAAGGATGGAAATGTTGTCACTTCATTCAAGAAGCGAATGTTTGAGGTGACAGGTAATTGAGGATTGGGCAGATATATGAATGCTGGGAGTAGGAATGAAAAAAATAGTTTAGAATAAATATACCTGCTGTATATTAAAAGTTATTTTGAGGAGAAATATTTCTTGAAAGGAAATTATATTGAAAACTCACAAGTAGTTCAATAAACCTTGCTATGCATTCACCAACTGTGTTAAACAGGAAATGAATGAAAAAACAGAACTATGTGTCAATCAAGGCATAACTAGGGAACACCAAACCTCACCTTATTCTTTTCAGAAACAGGCAGGCCATTTTGGGAATGCCAACCAGAAGAATATAATTTTTAATGAAATTTGATCAGAAATGAGCAGAGGGAGGTCCAAGAAGAACACTCCCCTGTACTCAGACATGAATGTACAAAATACATCTGGGAAAATTAAACTACATGGAACAGCAAAACCTTGACTTTTCAACAAATTTACAGAACTCATAAATGACTTTATGTGTTTACTAGTGAAGTGGGACTTATGGCAGGAGGGGGATATATTGCTTTTTATGAAGGGGAAGAAACTGTCATTTTCACGGGTCTCAAATGGAAGTTATTTTTTTAGCTGCCTGTTTTAGTAGAGGGGTTAGGAAATTCAACCTGAGGTCTTACAACACCCCTAGTTCCACTTGTACCTGGTTTGAAATGAAAGACCTAAGGCTGTAAGAACCAAAAATTACTAGCCAAAGTACTACTACTTACTACTGTTTTTGAGTACCTACTTAGCGCCATGCACTGTATCTAGTTGTTTCCTTTGGTTGCATGAAGAAAGAAGTGGTAATTTGCAACCACTTTTTTTTTTTTTCCCCCATTCTCAAGGAAAACTGTGCTTATACCAATATGGGCAGTTAGTATTAGTTCTCCAAGATCAGATCTTATTTTTAGTAAGTTTTTAAAAATTCTTCATTTTCTATATATCTCTTTTGGCCATGACAGTGTCTACAGGAAGGCAATATAGAGAAAGACTGTGGAAGTGGAGGTAGAAACATGTATTTAAGTTCTAATGCAACTTAAAAGTTTGGTCGACAATTTTGGGAAAAAATATTTAGTCTCCTATACACTCTGGACACCTTTATATGCTTATCTGAAGAAAAGTGTTAGTGATTTCAATGGAAAATATTTCCTTGGGATAAGAAATATTAAATCAGTGAATAATAAATACAATTATTTTACTAGAGTTTATATGTATTTTCCAACATTAAATATAATCACTGATTTAGATGAATTGAATTCTAAGTTTGGAGTTACAGACTTTTTCCCCAGGAAATACTATTGTATGTAAGTAAATAAAAATCTTAGGTTTTTCTAATAGAGATCTTTGTTGGGGGTGGGCAGTTGGGGAGTGAATTTGTTTTAATGAATGTGAAGAATTATAAACCTATCAGGTGTCTAATATAAATGTAGATAGGTGGTTTTTCTAACTACAGAAAGTAGGCCCCCTCTAAGAAAAAAACTTCTAGAAAAGAAAAAACTGAATATAATGCTATTTTATTTTGCTTCATAGTCTTAATGTCTGAAGTGATATTTATTTATCCCAATGTGCTTTTCTGTTTTCCTGTAGTCTGTTTTCTTGATCACAGCTTTTTCTACACAGTCACTTTTTCTTCCATACCAAATTGCAGTGGCATTTAGCTCAATACCTATCTCAGCAATGATTGGTTTTTATTTATAAGGATTATGGTTTACCAGAGTTTTACTCAGATTTCCTTAAATTTAAAATATATTTCTCTTCTTAATTTTGTGAGATCAAGCACTCGCCCTTTTATCTCAGGAAACAATATGTATTCGAAGAGAGACTTGTACATTTATTAGACAGGCATTTCTGGTGAGTGGACTTGTGGATGCTTTGGTAGATATTTTTAACTGGTATACCACACTTACTCGAAATGTCTTTAGAGGCTCCAGACTGCTGACACACAGCTGTCTTCACCTGTACTCCTTCCCATTGCTCTGCCAACTTTCATCTAATTTGGATGAGATCTGTTTGGATCTTAATACTTAAGGTATTTTTAGTATCTTGTCAGAGACTATCATAACATCATAGCAGTTCAGTTGCTGTTGCTGTTACCCTCTTACCTCTATATCTTTTCTCTCTTCCCCATTTCATAGATTCAGGTGTAAGCTATTTTCAAACTCATTCCACCTCATTGACATGGGAACCCACTTGCCATGTTTTTTTTTTGTTTGTTTGTTTGTTTTTTCAAATTCAAGTATTTTCTGCCCTCTACAAAAAGTTCTGTTCTTTTCAAATGTTAAAACTGACTCTCCCTGTGCCTGCAATGCCTTCTCTTCCATTCTCCCCACTCCAGCATCCTTATTTCATTGGTTACCCTTCTTCAAGCTCCAGTTCCAATATCATGCACTAAGATCAGAGATATCAGAAAATCAGTTGCTGCCATCTCCCAGATCCCATCCAGTGTCATGTCATAGAATCCTCTGGTACAGCAGTTGCTGCCTTGAACTCTAATACTTATCACAGTGATTTCTACATAAGGAAATACTTCAGTCTTAATATCATAAAATAGTATAAATATTATAATTTAAAATTGGTAAGACAGAATGTTTAAGAAAGTAGTTTTTAAAAAATATGGAAATGGAAATGATATGGAAATGAGACATTAACAAAAAATCAGTTAGTCATATTGTAAAGACAAGAGTTAGGAGTTGAGAAAAATAAGTTCCTATAAGAATTTTTAATTTCTGCATTTTCTTTGTTAAAGGAAAACAAGAGGTGATGATAAAAAAGATTAATCAAAATGCAAACAAGATATGTAGACAGAAAGGCAGTGAGCAAAATGTGTTTAAGTATTTTATGATACTAATAATTTGCTCAAATCTCACAGTAAATAAATGGCAGGATTAGAATTCTTATACTAACCTCACATTCTTTCCAGTGGCACTGCATTTCTGAGTAGAGTTATAATTATAATACAAGTTGAAAGTTATAGGTGTTCTGAGAGAGGGTAAGAAAATACTGCCTGGAAACTGGGAGTTCCCTTTCTCTGAGGGACATATGTTATATGAGCCAGGCTTTGACCTTATAGGTGGGATTAGGCCTGCAATGAAATGGAAAGAAAGGATACAAAAGCATGAACTGGAAAAGTATTTGGCATTAAAGGAGAAGAGGTGATTTAATTTGACTGAGTGTAGAGTACAGAAAGGGCAATGGTGAGAAATAATATTAGACTCCATTTTGGAGCAGAGGGACATGGTGTGAGTTATCTCTGTATGATCCTTTTGCAAGAGTCTGAAAGAAAGGTTTGAGAGACTACTATAGTGACTCAGAAATATTAGCAGACTTTTGCTATAGTTCATGACAGAATAACAAAGCCTTAAACTGAAATGATTGTAGTCATACATAGATGGAGAGATAGTGTAAAGATATCATTAAAAGGGCCTAGTAACTATATTTGCAGTAAAGAGAGAGTAAGGATGACTCTAGGGTGATGAAACAATAGAGATATGCAGGAAACAGTTAATATTAAAATGTATACATTGAGTTTTACACATATGTAGGGGAGCTTGAAATGTTCAGCTTTCAGAGGAATTTGGGCTGGAATTTATGAGTTAAAGGCAAGAAATATGACTTTCCTGAGATAATTCTGCCCCAAAATGACATATGAAATCATGATATTGAGTGATTTTGACAGGGAAATAGAAAAGAGATAAAGCCACAAACTTAGGTGAATGTCTGAATTTAGGAATTGGTAGGAGGAAGAAAAGTCAAAGAGATAGAAAGACAAACATGGATGTAGAGAATGCCACTGTAGAAAGGATATGGAAAGGAATGTTTTCTCAGAGGCCTTCAAGTGTGGTGGCATTTGAGAGAACAGTTGCAGTTATAGTGGGTAAGCTATATTGCCAGGGCTTGAAGAAGTAAGTGGACTTTGTGAGAACACACCACTTCTCAAGAATTACTTACTAGCACGCCGTCAGACTAGAGGGGCAATTCCAGTGTAGGAGGAGGGCGTGAAGATTCCACCTAACTAATCCTTTTAGGACTTTTTTAAGGGGATGGGATCATGGGTAAGACTAAATGTGTGAACATTAGAGAGGAAGCCTTATATTTGAAATGGGAAAACAGAATGTAGGTAACATAATCATGAATAGAAAGAAAAGATGCTGGTGGAAATCATATCAAAAGTCCTGTCTCTGAAAAGCAAGATCATTTGTGCAGCGTTGGGTTGACAAGGTGTAATGATGAGGCAACTAGGAAAATTTTGAAATGAGTGAACTATAGAAGGTGGTAGGGAATTAATTAGAGCTGAATAAATAATTTGCCAAAACTTGATAAGATGACTTCCCTAGCTATGTTTCTAGGAAATGGAAATTTATATTTTCAATTAAATGTTTTAACAAATGCATTAGTTTCTGCCTAAGTTGAGGTACATGTGAATTTTGTATCTGAAGGAAAGGGTGAGTTAAATAAAGAATCTGTCTTCTTGTTGCCTGACTTTTGCTAAAAGGAATTTCTTGTTATATTGGTATTTAAAAATCTACATGTTAAATTTAGGCAACTTCTCATCTCCTGGAAAATAAGTTGAGTAGAGTTAAAGTCAGATGGTGTTGTACAAGGTCATCAGTCCAATGTTGAGATTTTACATTCTATTGTATTTTCTTCATATAACTTTAACTAGTATACAGTATAATAAGGTATAGCCTTAATATATTAAATAAAAATCAAGTTACAGCACAGCATTTGAACAATTTTTTTCAGACCTATTGGAATGGGTCTGGACCTCATGTGTTAATGACCTGTCTTTTGATGTTCACAAGTTTATTGTCTTCATTACTGTTATTTTCTACAATAGCGTAAGAGCAAGTAAGAAAAGATTACCTTCTTTTTTTTTTTCTCATTCAAAGCTCCTGTGACCCCCTCTAACTGGATATCTTTACTTATTTAGAAACTGTTGAATACTATGTTGTATGTTTTGCCATGAAAACAAAGGGAGAATAAGTGGTATGAAAATTCAGAGATACTTCAGAAATTTTTAGTTCTTTCTATTTCATGAAATAGTGCTTGCATTTACATTGGGGGAAAATTACATGCCCAGTGTTACATGTTGCACTAACTAAAGTTCATCAATGTATGTTCCTCATGAATACATTTGTACTTCACAATATTTTTCAGAATCCTCAGTCAGTAGCAGTTCTCCAGGCTCTGGTCCCAGTTCACCAAACAACGGGCCAACTGGAAGTGTTACTGAAAATGAGACTTCAGTTTTGCCCCCTACGCCTCATGCTGAGGTAAGACCCTTTTTATTTTGTTTCTTTTAAAAATTGAATTTCTGATTAGCTACCTAATACAAAGTGATATTTCTGAGTTGTCCTTTAATATCCAAATGATATTTATGAATTGAAGTTTACTCAGTTCCACATATTGTAAACCAATTGAAAAAAATTGGTATTTACTAACTAATGTAAATATTATAAACCTATAAGAAATGAATTGATGTTTATTAGCTGACATAAATATCAATTTTTTCTTACAGATTTTTTTAATGTGTAGAATTCAGTAAACTTGATCTTATTTATAAATCAGACAACCAGAGATGTTTGGAAGGCAATCCAGGCTTGAAGAATATTGAAATGTAATCCTCAGTCAAACAGTTTTAGTGATCCTCAGTGCTTGGTTATTGGTTATGCCGATGTGAGTAGACACATCAGTAAGTAAAACCAACTCCTACAGGCCTCTCAGAAGAAGAACCTAGCGAGGTGGATTTTATCCATTTGAACTGAAAAGTGATGAAAAATCATTGCAGTATGATAGTTGAAGGGTGTAAAGCTTCACTGAGCAAACATGTTTTGGGCACCTGCTATATTCAAGTCATTTTGCCTCACAGTAGGGATATAAACATGGGCAAGATATGAACTCTATGTTTGAAGAATGACATATTAAAGGATACTAGTTTAATGTAACACATGATTTAGTGTAACCAATGATACAAGACTAAAAGGAAAGCTCATATAAAAGTCATCAAGAATTTGTCTATGTAGTTTCTGTATTTGGGTATCAAAGGCAAGAGTCTGAAAATAGCCACTCATGAAATCACCTGTTTTGAAGTCATCAACAATTGACTGAAAGCCTTATTTTTGTTTCTGTTATTATGCCTTCTTCACTGTGCATTGCTCTGTACAAGGAGAGCTGGTGTGTTAACTTCTGATATATAACATGCTTCTTTCTTTATATTTTATAGAGTCATGGTACCTTGAGACAGAAAGGGACTGGTCAAGTCTCTTATTCTTGGATCATCTCCATAGCTTTTCTGCCATGTGATTATCCAGCCTCTGTTAGAATGCTTCTGCTTATAGGGAGCTCACTTCACTGTCTCCTGAGGCAGCCCAGTTGATTTTAAATAGTTATTTTGACTGATAGAAATGTCTCTGTACAGCTGTTGCTGTGTAATTTCATATGTTTTATACACACAAACACAAACATACATATGTATAATAAATTATTTATAAGTTATGAAATTATCAGGTCAGAATATATGAAGGCAGAAATCCAGAAGTTGTCTCTGATGAGCAAAGGACTGAAGCCAGCAAAGTCAGTTTTGCTCTAGGCACATTTGCACACTTGAGTTTTGAGCTTTGGTTTTCAGGGCTTCAGAAACTCAAGAGATAGAAGATAAAGCCTAGTACCAACCAAGGAGGATAATCTAATAGGAGACCCTGCAAACACTAAGCTGACACCCCAGAGGCCCATATCTATGTTACATTGGTGAGTTGACTGCCCCTCTGACTGCTCTGTCCGCACCCCCGCCCGCCCCGACCCCCCTGCCCTGGGCTGTCTGATGTGGAGCAGAGCAGAGGGCAGATCCTCTCTCTCAGAAGTCTTAACAACAAGCTAGTCCTTGTGTAGATTTGTAGCCCAGATCACATAACCTCAAGCTGTTAACTTATCATGGCCCCACATTTGTAGTTCGCACATTGGGAGTCTGCACAAAGCAAAGCAACCGCCTCCTCCCCAAGGGAATATACCTTCCTTCTAGATTTCAAAAATTTCCCTCAAATAAGTTTCCAAGGAACATGAGCAAAATATCTAGATGCTGTCATTTATGACCATTTTCAGCTATTTAAAGAATAGTAATTCTGGCCTCTACATGGTCTGCAGTCCCACATCTATTTCTTACTTACTATCCTGTTACCCCTCTTTCTCTTTTTCATTATCCTTTCAAAAACATGATAGCAGATGGAATAAATACTTTGTTTATATTTGTAACCAGAGACATAAGTAGAGTTATTGGATTATTAGTTGTAGATAGCATCTTTTTGTTAGTGCAGTTATACTTGGATATTGATCCATTCTCTGCAACTATTTAGTAAATTTCCAGGAAAAGAACAACTTGTTTACAATTTTTTTTTTTCAAAAAACTTTAGATTGTCATTATCTCTCAGTATGAAGAATGTAATTCTTAGTAATTACAAAAACACCAAAGGATCTGGGTTCTAATCAGTCCCTGAATGGATTTTGTGCCATTGAAAAATGAAAACAACACACTAGACTACATTCAGCAGCATGTTTGGTTCCGAGAAATGCATTGTCATTGCAGTGTTTCAGAAGACCACTTACAACAAGGGAGCATTTTACTAGGTTCAGAAACGGTAATACAGTACTTTGTTTGATAATACATCATAATAGTATATTTTTAAGAGGCAAGAGAGTGATGAACACAAAATTTAGCATGATGATTACCTTTCAGAAAGGAAGAAGGGGGAAAACATGATTTGATAGTTACCAAACAAGATACATATATTCCTTCATTGTAAATACATATATATGTCCATATAGTATTTAGTACAACATATTGGAACAACCAAGAAGTATACATTGTTAAAGAATTTAAATACAAGATTTTGCTTATACTGTTTTAATTTGTTTTATATTTCTAAAGCCATAACTTGCCACAAATCATCTGTTTAGGTACCCTAGGTTTTCAACTAATTGTTGAACGTATTCTCTCACTGCAAACCTTTCCTTTCAGCCCCACCATTAAAAAAAGAAAAACAAAACAAAACAGAAGGAAATGTGATTTAATGGAGTTTAAAAGGGTAGAGGTATTTCTTCAGGTCAGTGACAGGACATTCACCTCCAAATCTGGAAAGACGAGTTCAAAAGCAAGCAGTGACTTACCTCATAATGAATTAATTGTGTGCCTGAACTATGATCCAAAAGGCCAGGTGGGCAGACCTTTATGCACTGATGAGTAGCCTCTCTGTGGCCCAGAACAAAAAATGCAACCCTGATGGCTAACATGTGGTTTTCTGCTGTATTGCATTTACAGAGATCTGTAGTGTAATTCATTCTCGATAGGTGAGGAGACAGCGGAATTTAGACTGAGACTGTCAGCAAGTTAATATCGTAGCTTTTTAGCACTAAATGTTTCCACCCAAACTGGAGAAAAGAGAAAAAAAATTTCTCAGCCATACTTGAGTAACCATCATTTAGAATTTAGGATGATTTTTACAGATGTCTCCTAAGATTAATAGTAGTACGGGACTTCATAGCAACAAATATTTTGGGGGCATGAATTATTTGCATAATATATTGCACTCTAAAAAAATGGTTGCATACTTTACCGTTTACAAAATAGGTTTATTCTACTATTTTGGCTTAAGGAACACTGGTGAGTTTTCCTATTAAAATAGTGTATATTTGAATGAAGTCTTTATTTCATGGCCTGTAAGTAGAAAAGCATGTCACCTAATTGTTTCAGAGCCCATGTAAATGAATGGGATTCTATCCCATTGTGCTGCTTCAGAAGTAGGAAAGTCCGGCTGTATCTAAAGATCTTGAGCCCTAGATGAAAACAAAATTTTCTATCTTGTAATTCACATGTCCTGCCTAATTTAGATAAAGGGTAGACAGAAGTAGGAGGAGAATTTACTCATAAATTGAGGTTCAGAGAATAGCACATTGTAGTGGAATGTATAGGTGTTCCATTCAGAAGACTCGGCCTGAACCTGGCTCCAAAACCAGCTACCTTATCGTCAATGGTCAAGCGACTTCCCCTGACCCTCAGATTCCTGATCTAGGAGAAGGGAGTACCGTAATACCTACACTAGCAGCTTTGTTCTAAGGAATCAGTGTTTGGAAGGCAGGTGGTAAATTATGAAGTTCGGAACAAGTTCACTTTTTGTTGTTATTATCAACGCTGACTCCTGGTAGGGAAAACTCATTAGCATGTTTGTCTTCAAGCCAGCAGCTCTCATGTGAGAGTGAGTCTCCATCTGCTCTGACCACTTCTGTTCCATTTCTTCTATTTCCTACATATGCTCAGTCCCAGAACTCAGATTGTTGGAGCTACTTGCTTTACTCATTTGTAAACTTGGTTGGGGAGCTGAAACCTCAAGGGTTTCTATTTCCAACTCCAGTCAAAGATGTCTTTACCTATCTAGTTACTTTATTGTTAATACTGTGGGCCTGTGGGTTCAAATATGTTTCCATGGATATCAACACTATTACTTTAGATTCAGTAGATTTATTTGATAGCTATTTTAACGGTAGCCAAGCTGCTGGTTTATTTCTAGTTGAACATTAGTGGCTGTCTCTGCTATGCTATTTTTTAAAATAAACTTTCCAGCAGATACAAATGCTTTTTAAAAAGGATTCTAATAATAAGGTTAAGTGTTCTAAAATCATCTGTAATGTCACTTGTTTTGCCCCAATCTCACATGACTCATCTGCCTGTTGTTTCATAATAGTTGTTGTGACATTTGCTGTAAATGTTATGCTCCCTTCTGAGTGGGTGTAGAGCTGTGGTTTTAGATAGCAGCAAATAAAATACGTTCCCCCCACCCCCGACTCAGGGAAAGGAGGTTGCTATGACAAAATAATCATTTACTAGGAATAACATGAGTCAATATTTTAAAGCAAGATCTTTAACAAAACATCAGTGCCTTTCAAATGCTAAGCAAACTCTGTCAAATGATTTTTCTTTTTTTTTGTTTTTTTGTTTTTTGGTCTCACAATATGTCTCACCATTTTATAGTAACACCTTCTTGGGTGTCCAGTAAAATGGAAACTTGAGAGATTCTACTGCTTGAACAATTTTTTTTAACTACATGGAGATTTTAATTTTCTATGAGCTATCTGAAAGAATAGTAGAAAATAAACACAATCTCTAAAAATCCCATGAAAACCATAGGCAAATGTTAAATGATTAAGAGGCTTTTCTTTTTTAAAACGTGGCTATATTCTTTTTAGATAACCTGGATTCAGGGACTTGGGACCTTGTAAAGCCAAAGCTGGTTGACACTCACAGGCATGTCTTCCTGTATGCCATTCCAATAGACTCACATGTTACCTGATAGAGCTGGGCAGAGGTGCTTCAGTCTCAGGCTGAAGGTTCTGAAGTCTGGGGAAGCTGGGTGCTGCCCAGGGTTACAAGCCATGAGTGGGAGAGCTCAAGTATAAGAGACTTAGACCAGACTTCGTTTCACAAGTCCAGGCTGCTCCTCACCAAAATTCTGTGTGTATATATATATTTTTTCTTTTTCTGATTCTCATGCATATTGTACATAATTTGGAACATACAGTAAACTGAAAATTCTATATCCACATTTTCTGAGCTTTTTAAAATGTGAGTGATTATTGGCCGGGCATGGGGGCTCACACCTATAATCTCAGCACTTTGGGAGGCTGAGGTAGGAGGATAACTTGAGGCCTGAAGTTTAAAGACCAGCCTGGGTAACATAGAAAGACCCTGTCTCTACAGGGAAAAAAAAGAAAAAGAAAGAAAAAAACCCCACAAACCTAACAAACATTAGCTGGGAGTTTGAGCCTAAGAATTTGAAGTTACAGTGGGCCTTGATCACACCACTGCACTCCAGCCTGAGCAACAGAGCAAGATCCTGTCAAAATAAAAAAAAAGGAGAAGTAAGTAATTATTTACATAACTAGTATTACTAGCATTCTGTCAAGGGCTATCATTGACTTTTTTGTCTTCTTAAGATTAAGAAAAGTATTTGTTTATCTTCCTCTCTTTCCCTTCCTCCTTTTTTCTCTGCTTCCCTCCCTCCTTCCTTGGTTCTTTCTCTCCATCTCCTTTCCCCACTTTCATTTTCCTTGCTCCCGTAGGCATCATTCTCTCCTGTGTTCTTGTTTATACAAATTTTTACACTATATATATTTTTTACTTTGCATCCATGGGTTTTCATGGGATATAAATGGCACAATGGTATCCGTATCATTCCATTTTCTTGCTTTTATCACTAAGCATGTGTTTTTAGATCCAGACACTGTGTCTTTATGGATGCAGAAATCTAATGGTATGCTTTCAATCACCATAAAAATCCATGGTGGGTGCTGCCACATACTGATTCCTGAGGTAGATGTCCTGGTGCCCTTCAATATATACCATGTCCTATCATCCTACAACTTAATGAGAGAATTTCTCGAAGTTAGAATTCCCAGCAGAGCCATCACTGGGTCATATGGTATACAGTATAATTATTTTGGTTTATAGTTCAACAGAATTGCTATACCAGACTACTGTCCCACCAGGAATACATGAGAGTTTTTACCTTTCTAAATCCCTGTAACATTTGACATTGTCTATTTTTCTAATTTTAGCCAGTGTCCCTTTTGGAAGAGATTCTGAGTCTTTTAATTTAAGTCAGTGGCTTAATTTCAATTCCACATAAATAGTTCTATTGAGAGACATAATGTTTCAGTCTATGTGTTTTGTATTCATTTGAACTACAAATATTATCTATGAGATGCCCCTCCTATTGACATAACAGGAGAGAAATTAAATAAGATTTTGAAAAGCCTTAGTAAAATGTGAGTAGGCCACCCCTACCCCAGCATTTGGCCCATTTCACGTCTCATGTCCTAACATAATGCTCCTTCCTCTAATTACAGTAATTATCACAAGTCAAAGAGTTAGTTCTTTACTTTTCTGTGCAGCTAACTACCACAAGAATTGGTGTTTTATAGGACATCTTATACGCCTAGCACCCAGCACCATTAATCTAACACAAAGAAGTTACTCATTAATTGTTTTGTGAAGGTTAAACAATAGCCATTCATACATTTACTATTTTCATTTTATCTAACCACAATAAAAAATTTTGGTTCTGAAAAATTTTCAGATTAAAACCGTCATTCCCATGTTCTAAATGGCGAAGTACTGGCATCATAGCAAAGCACTGATTTAAGGGCTGGGCCAGATTCAAAACTGCTTCTTGGAAAAATCCTGGCTTTGCCTGAAAACACTTGTGAGCTCACCGCAATGCTAAGGTGGGATGGTCTTCCTGCCTTGCAAGAATGCTGGTCAGGATCTTTCATTGTGTCAGGTGAATGGTACTCCTCCCAATCTGTTAGTCTGACTTTCAAGTGTGTCTGTACTCAGTTAGCAGTGTAGACTATGGCTCCAGGTCTTATTAAGAGATAAACGTGGAACAGATAGACTGCTCCGATCAAAAAGCATAGTTGAGGAAAGCTATATTTAAAGAAAATAATTCGAGGGAAATTGTTTTTCAATTCTCTGAAGTAATTCTAGACCTTGAAAGTCTACATAGATGCTGTGCCTGTTTCCTTATCTGTAATCCAAGGAGATAAGCTAAGCAATGTCCGGGTCCCTAAAGTTTCTATGAGACGACATACTGGTTAAGAGTCTTTGGGAAGAACCAACTATGCCTAACAGATGTGGGGGACACAGAATCGTCCTTACTTCATCAAGAATTGTCTCCATGACTTGAACATCCTGACATTTATAAAGTCGCTGGAGCTTTCTTCTTGTGCCCAACCCCGGACTCCCAGTTGCACTCTTTTATTCCTGCCATGAGCCTCAGAGCCTGAGTTTGCTCCTCTTCTCCTCCAAAGCTACCAGCATTCTCCCTACTTTTCTCTGGTTCCCCTGTCTTCCGGCAGTGGCTGCAGAGTCGTACTCCCTGTAGCAGCAGCTGTCAACAAATCTCATAGTCTTGGTCAGTTTAAAGGTTTTGTTGCTGGTCCCACATGGAAGCAAAATTGGGGAAATGACTCAGTTTCCTCATTGACAGCATGAGCATAATGGTAGCTTGAGAGTGCCTGTGAAGAACAGGTTAACCTACAAAATTTCTGGCCCAGGGCACCATGGTAGGTGCGGAATATCAGTACACTGCCAGAGGAAATGGAGCCACTCAAGTTTTATAGGAAACTACAAAGATCTGCAATCCCAGAGTAAGACTGTCCCCACATCTCTTCACTTTAGTCAAAGCCAGTGTGAGGAGCCAGTGTGTTGCTGCCATTATTACGTCTGAGAAGATATCTATTTCTCATTTTAGTTTAATTCTGGTTCCTGTGATGAGGTGGGAGGATATCACAGAAATTCTCTCTGGGAAACAAAGAAAAAACTCTTTTGTGAGGTCCATGGTATTTTTTGTGCCATTCTCCCAGTCCATGTCAAATCCCTTAGTCCGTATCTCAGTGCTGTGAGAAGCAGATACAACCTTGAATGAATATTATGCACTATTTAAAATGCATATTTTTCCACACTTATTTTCTCTCCAATGAATACAGATAAGTGAATAACATATCCTTTTATTTTAAATCACTATTTACTGCCAATAAGCTAGTTAAAATATTTTTGCTTCCTTATATGTTCCTTTTGTTCTTGTTCAGGTATGTATTCTATACTTAAAATTTTCATGAAAAGCTTATTATTTATATGAGTAAAAGAATAGCTTGCCTTTTTGTTTATAGCAAGTATGCAACTCTGTCTGATAGCTCATAAAATAAAATTGCAGTCTCACACATTGTAATTTTAAAATCTTTCCCAATAATCTTTATGCTATGTCACTTAGACATCTAATTTTTTAAAGGGCTACATATAAAGTCAATGTAATGTTATTGCTATCAACATACCTCTTGATTTTCATGCACAAATATCTGACATGTTCCTTTGAGAAGTAACAAAATCTGAACTAGCTTTGAGTTCCAAGTTGCAATGAGAAAACTCCACATTTAACCCTGTGCTCTTATTATGTTAAGACTAGGACTCATCTCCAAACAAACGTATGATTGAGATGATGTTTTGGAATAACATCCTGTGTTTTGGTGGTGCATCACTCTTCAGTGACATTCTGAGGTTGCATTGTATTAGCACATGATATTTTCCCCAGTTAATTGATATCCCAGGTTTGTCCAGGGGAAAATCTACAGCTCCCCCAAACATGCTTGACAAGTTATTATATTTACTTTAGTCAAAGCCCGTGTGTGCAATATCCCTCTTGGAGGTGGTCTATTATTGGAGTCCCATATGCTTTTTGTTTGGGAAGAAAGCAGTCACTGTGTCATACTGTTACATGGAGTATTCTTTTTCAGGGATGTTGTTCCCTTGGGGACCATATCAGGCCAGAGTTCCTTGGTCTAATAAGACCTTTGTAACTCTTATTGTATAAAACTTCTGGGAGGGAAGCAAGAGTTAAACAGAAAATGTAATTCAAGCAACCATATTAGGCCACATGTGGGAAAACATGACTCTTAGTAATGGATTAAAAAAGGTATTTGTTGTAAAAAGCACAGTGATGCCAAAACATTCAGGGTATTTCAGTGTAAATGAAGGCTATTGTGGCATAGGGCTCGTAACATTTTAACATTTACTTTAGTTTCTGAATATGAATGATCTAAAAATACACCACACAGAATTGTCTATTCATAAATGTTTATAGTAAAAAAGATGTGATTACTATGGAAGACCTATATGGTGATATTTCATCTAAGATTTTTCTTGGGTCAGTTTTCCCATCAATAAAATGACATTAAATGAAGAATCAGATGAAGATAATGACTGTTGGCATTATATACATATTTTTTTTCACTGAGTAATACAAAAGAAGTAGACATACTAATCAGAATTATGCAATTTTATCATTGTACTTTATCAGCAGATGACAAACATGCTGACCGTATTTTGTATAGCCAGAATTTTATAAATGAATTTGCAAAAAATGAACATAGATGCCTTTTATTCAGATTTGATAACGATGTCTTAGGAAGAAATTTTTTATTTAAATTTTACATTATAACTTTTGGATACAGAAGTCATGAAATAAATACTTAAAATCTTTTCTTAATTATGGTAAGGCCCATTTTCTGAAATGAGAACATTTTACAGTAAAATTTGTGATACTGTGGTATTTTGAGACTCTCCTCTTTTTTTTAACAGCAAATGGTTTCACAGCAACGCATTCTAATTCACGAAGATTCCATGAACCTGCTAAGTCTTTATACCTCTCCTTCTTTGCCCAACATTACCTTGGGGCTTCCCGCAGTGCCATCCCAGCTCAATGTAAGTCATTGCACAGCATCAGCCTAAATCAACCCAAGCAGTATCTCTTCATAGGGGAACTCTCTTTCATGTTTTATATATTTAGACTTTAGAAAAACTTGACAGAGCCAGCATCTCCTTCACTGTTTGCTATTTGCTGTGTTGTTCAAAGACATTCAGTCTAATTTCAAATCAGAATTATCCTGGTTTCACATAATCATATGTAAAAATAATAACTAACATTTGTATAATGGTTTATAGCTTTTAAAAAAGCACTTTCCAGATATATTATTTTAATAGCTCCATACAGCCATCCTGTGAAACAGAGATTACAGCCCACGTTTTTACAGAAGGAGAAGCTGAGACTTGGAGAGTTTCAAAGCACAAGAGCACAGAGCCAGTAAGTGGCAGACCTGGAACACAAGCCAGGGCAGTGCTGAGAGGTACAGCTTCGAAAGCACAGTAGCATATGTTTATAGAATTTATTTTGTGAATGACTTTATTTTGGGAATTTAAGTTACTGACTCTCTGGTACTGACGAATATGTATCTGGAAAACCTCTAAGAAAAATATTAAACTATTCCCAGAAGATTCAAAGTGAATCAATTAGTTTAAAAGTCCTGACAACTGAAATAGGTTCTTTCGGGAAGAAAGCAGTCACTGTATCATAGTGTTACATGGAGGCCTAGAAGTCATTCCTTGTCCTGGCCTCTGCCTTAAAATTTCCTAGTACTCAGCAGAGAAGATGGAATACTAGAGATCTCTTTGCCAAAGCAGTGCTAAACTTGAAATGTTATTGTCATACTAGCAGAAGATGGCAATAATTATTCTATGCATATTCCCTAAAACCGTATCAGTTTTAGTTGTAAAAAATGTGTGGGCCTTATCCAGAATAATTCATCTCTGAAATGTTAATTAAATTGTATGCATACAGGGGTCATATGATACATTAGGTTTAGAGAAAAATTTATTCCAACTCTCATCACCAATTTGGCCAATCCTTACCTTCAAGTCTTCCACTGAGTAGAATGTGTCAAGTTCATGTGTATGTTCAATACATAGTTTCAATACGTATTTTAAAATCAATCTAAGAGATATCTTATTATCTCTGGTATTGTCAATAGACTATAGTGTCATTTTATGTGGTACTGTGTTCTTCTTATACCAATGAGGAAAAAACAAAATTTGGATGTCGTCCTATATCTGGGGATTATAAAAGAAAGCATTGAAAATACTGAATTCAGCTATGCTCTTAAAATTCCACATGAAACATTTGTAAATGAAATGAAAAACAAAAAAGGAATTAGGAATGAAACTAAAAATAAATATTCACAGATAATATTTTACAGTTATCACTAATTAAAAATTATTTTTCCTTCTGTTTCTATTTCCTATCTTTTCTAACGATAAGTAAATATAAACCCAAAAACTTCTTATGACACATGAATAGGCATTTTATTTTTACTTATTTTTGTATGTTCTAAGCCACTCCTCTCAATAACTCACACATGTACCACTTTTAATGTGGTCAAGGAAAATTTTTTCCCAAAGGACCAAGTACTAAAGCCAGACCATTTAATCTTTCAAAGGTAATACGATTTGGTACCATTGGATGAATAAACCAATGTGGTTTGGATTAAAGTTTCATTTTTCTTTGCTTCCATTTTGGTGTGGATGAGGCCATCACAATTAATTTTTCAAGTTTAGCATTGCTTTGCCAATGGGATCTCTAGTATTCCATTTCTCCACTGAATACTGGGAAATTTTAAGGAAAAGAGGCCAGGACAAGGAATCACTTCTAGATTAAACATTGCATTGACTTGCTGTGTGACTCAGACAAACCACTTACCTCTTTGTCCTTCAATTTCTCCATCGCTGAAAATTGCTTCGCCTCCCTGGTGCACAGCAATTTTGAAAGATGAAACTTGAGTTTTGAAAAGAAACATGCCACATAATTTTGAGGTATTAGAGTCCTGCTTTTGTAATAGCAAAATGACCACCATTCATTAAATCATTTGAATAGGATAATTCATTATTGCTATTGATGATATAATTATTATTGCCTTATTACTGTGTTATCATACATTTCAAGTTCTTAATCGCATTTTTATTTGATATCTTATTTCACTTGTAGTTTATTATACAAAATATCTGGAATGTCATTTTCAATATTTAGAGATTTGGGGATCTGTTATGAATTAATATAAACTGTTTAAATCAAATTTCTGCATATTTTTACCTCCTTTCATTGGGTTATTTTAAGAATTTAATTTTAAAAATTAAACATTGGACACTTACAGCTCTGTGAAATTATTAGAAGCCATGTAGAGAAAGGGTAAATTGTTCCTTTTGCTTGCAACTCCAAAATTACAGTCCATCTTATCTCCAGCTTCTTAATCCCCATGATATAGTCTTTGAATAAATTTTACCTTTCCAGTATGCCTTTAACTTAAACAGTGTATAAAATATTTTAGAAATGTACTTTCCACTTATTAAGCCTGAAATAAGCATTTTTTTGTTTTTTTTTATTGACACATAAAAGGTACATAATTTGTGGTTTACAACATAATGATTTGATATATGTATACATTGTAGAGTGACTTAAGCTAATTAACATATGCATTGTCTCACATACTTATTTTTTATGGTGAGAACACTGGAAATCTATTCTCTCAGAAATGTTCACGTGTACAATATATTGTTATTAACTGTAGTCATCATGTACAATAGATCTCTTGAATTTATTCTTTCCACCTAAAATTGTGTACGTAGCATCACTTCTGATTTTAATTTAAAAAACTTTTTATGTTCAATACAATGACAATATTAAATCGTCTTCAGTGCTCCAACCCTATTTTTATTTCTTCTTTATTGAGTTGAGTTAGTTGAAAAGGTCCATTTTCCCGGCTCAGCCATTGGGTAAGATGGGGCTTTTGTTTTGGGAAGCTACGGCATAGGAAACTTGTCTAATGATGTAGAGACCCAGTGACCCACATGGATGAAAGAGGATTAACATCTTTGTTATTTCTCAACACAGGCTTCGAATTCACTCAAAGAAAAGCAGAAGTGTGAGACGCAGACGCTTAGGCAAGGTGTTCCTCTGCCTGGGCAGTACGGGGGCAGCATCCCTGCGTCTTCCAGCCACCCTCATGTTACTTTAGAGGGAAAGCCGCCCAACAGCAGCCACCAGGCTCTCCTGCAGCATCTATTATTGAAAGAACAAATGCGACAGCAAAAGCTTCTTGTAGCTGGTAATTCATTATGGCACCTTTTGCGGATCATTTTAGGATTTTATTTTATTAGTGATCCAGGATAATGTCTCTTTTACTTAAGACCCTGATAGAGATCCACAGTGCTATACAAAAGTCTCCCTGATACCTGGTACTGTGGGAAAGGCTATCACCTCTATTTATTCCTTCAGATCCAACTGGGGTAGGAGGACTCACCTCATTTAACCTTTATTCATACCAGACTAGACTGGTGAGTTGTATGGTCAGATGCGTACCTGTCCAATGCCCTGACATTTCTCTCTTCCCACACCTGACCTTTTGACCACACCTTCTGTTGTTTGCCTGGTAGCATGACTAATTCACTAATTTTCTTATAGTTTATACCATATATCTGTTTTCTTTGGCTTCTTATCTTTTCTTAAAATTGTGCGTGTGTGTGTGTATGTGTGTGTGTGTATACACACATATACATGTATTTTTTTTTTTTCAGGTGGCGTTCCCTTACATCCTCAGTCTCCCTTGGCAACAAAAGAGAGAATTTCACCTGGCATTAGAGGTACCCACAAATTGCCCCGTCACAGACCCCTGAACCGAACCCAGTCTGCACCTTTGCCTCAGAGCACTTTGGCTCAGCTGGTCATTCAACAGCAACACCAGCAATTCTTGGAGAAGCAGAAACAATACCAGCAGCAAATCCACATGAACAAAGTAAGCCTCCAAGCCAAGTCAAAATGTTCTAACCGCTGGTTTGGAAATTGGGGATCTCTTCACTGATATGGGTATATAAGAGGAATGTTGATGGGAGTCACAGCAAAAAGGATGTGATCATCCTAAGCCTGCTTTCTTGGCTCAAGGACAGCATCACAATATCAGTGTTTTAACCACCATTATGTTCATGAGACATTTGTACAAAATTGAGATGATACATTTGCAAGATCTTTTATGATCAGGTATCTATTTTGGTACACAACCCCATATAGGCCTAAATATGTGGAGCCTCATTTTTTAGTGTTGCAGAAAAGATTTGAGGCAGACTTGAATGTGGTGCATTGACATGTCAAAAAGTTTGTACAGGTGATGGCAGATAGGCCAAGGTTAGCCAGTAAGGCACTTCTCAGCAACTTGTATGCATCTATGTTACATTTATTTTGCATATGCCCCACTTCATTCCAATAAGCGTTTGGAGTAGTTTCTCAGAAACTTGTGATCATTTCTTCCTGGAAGTCTTAACGTTGCTAAAATGGACAGCGGATGTCTGTACCATACCACATCCTTAGGAGCTCTCCTGCTGAGGCAACTACAAAGAAACAGTGATTGCAGCATAATATCAGACAGGCCAGTAAAGGATTTTCTATGAATTTGTAAGCAAAATGATATTAAAGAACCTGGTCTGGACAGTTTTTCCACTACTCTTTGCTGTGGTAGGCTTAAAAAAGCACCATCTTCTCATTCCTGGAAAATTCCTGGAAAATATTAAGGTCCTGAGTATTAAGATTCTATTCCCTTGCCTTTGTGCTGTATCATCTACAAGTATGTTACAGAGGCATGAGAGGCATTATATTGCAAACTGATAGTTTGTTTACTGATAAATGGATAACCTGGCTTAGTAATAACTTTGTTGTACCATGATATAAGAAACAAACAAAACAAAACAAAATCAACTCTCATGGGCAGACGCCTAATCATCTTTATAATGGCAGTAGGGAAGAGGGATCTTCATCACGTGCTGGTTTTATGGCAAGTGTTGCTGGAGTTTTTCTCTTCTTTTGGCCTCCCTGGTAACAAGGGCAGAGCCATGAAGGAAGCATGGATTGGATACCATGCTTCTGAACAGAAATTTTTCCAGCCTAGCCCTTTGCTACTCTCAAAGTAGCAAAAGTATGTGTGGGATTGGGGTGCTAGAGATGGGGTGGCTGGCAGGGGCAACTCTCTCTCTAACCTTTTACGATACATTGCAGATCCTTTATGTGTCATTAGATAATGCCTACTTTATTGCTGTAGCACTTCTCTAAATTTAGCAAATTATTTCATATCAAATTATTTTATATCAAATCAGTATCATCAGGAGAGAGTCAATTTCCTTCTCTGACTAATGGCATAATACTCATTGACTTGTATGTGACTCTGCTTATGTTTTCTATATTATGGTAGAGTTAGGTTTGTTTATTTGTTTTGTGGCCTTTCGGCACAACTTAAAATCATTAGGTATTCTTGAAAAATTGTCCACTGTTTAGGGCAAGAAATGTATGTGGGAGGGAAGATTAGGGATCTTATTTTTTGCCTTATAGTGTTTCGATCTGGAATTAGGTTTGTTTATAAAACCAGTATTAGATAGTAGATGGGCTTTTCTGCCATGCTTAGTTCTATTTCCTAGAAACACATGGATGTACATGTTCTACTATGGTAAAGTAGGTAGATTACTCCATTTGAAATTGTGATCTACAAATGGTTTCTATGAATACCTTTAAGAATATTTTGGAATACAGTTTTTTATTAACTAATTGCCACCGTTTCAGATTCAGATGGTATGCTAATATCAGAATCTTTCCTTTTCAGTATCAAACTCGAGATTTTGACAGGCGGATGCCAACCTCAGTCACACTGGATAAAACTCAGATGAAAAGCAGGCATTTGCATTTTAGCAATGAGAAAAGCAAATCTTATCAGAGACCTTTTCCCATGTGGAGCTGATTCCTTTGAGTCTGTTAAGAATTCTTCCCCAAATTAGAAACAAACCTATACTTTTAGGTACATGTTTGTACAGTGGTTTGATTATTAAATCTTGTCTTAATTAGGCAAAATGAAGAACAGAAAACTTCAAAGTCCAAAGCTGATCTTTATATGTTAACCTCTCTCAGCTTGGGTGTTTAGATGACTCAAGCAGGTCGCCAGTTGGCTTTTCTCCAAGTATGTATTCCATATGTTTAATCAAGTTGGCATATGCACATTGGGTATTCTCCAGATTTTGAAAATATTTTACCTGCCCTCAGTTGTCTAAGGAGACAGAGAGGAAGCTTATTAAAGAAAATATCAAACCCGTGCCTTACTCTGAAATATTCACAATAGAACCCTTAAGAAGTGAATGGCTAGTATTCACCTGCTTCCGTGAGGTGACAAGGATATTTATTTCACATTGGGTCAGATTCATAACTTAGATGCCCAAAGCTAACATGTTTCTGTATAATATATTGCTACATACTTGATTTAACCATTTAGAATGCCCATTAGTAAGAAATCACTACAGAAATTTTGTCACTTTCCCCCATTTCCGTGGATGAACCTTCATGAAACCCATTCAAATTGGAGCGATGGTCCTTACTCTTGAGATACTTATAGCAGGAAATACAGGCACACATGAAGATGTCGACATACAAATGACATATTTAAATATGTCTTCTTTTATTTCCTCTTTATGGTTCTTTTTTGAGGAATTTCGAGAAAAAATGAAGTGGGAACAAGAAAATATAAGTAGGATTATTTCTAAACCTGTATCAGATTAAATATGATGGGCTTCCTGGTATAAAATTTGTAGTAATGTGTTTGAGTTACTAATAATCTTCTGAAGAATTAGAAGCAAAGCTATAATTTTAGGGGCATAGGTGATGCAGTGATTGACTTATTAAATTTGAAAGAGTTTTTCATATCTTGCTATTATTTTAATATGTTTATAAAATATTCATGTTCAGTGTAAATATATATTGTAACTGTTATTAATCATACAAAATAATTTACCTACATCTTGCCTTATACTTTACTGTCATATTTTGGATATTTGTGGGATATTTGTGTGTCATAAGATTATTTGCCTCTTATAGTTATGGTGTATGTGTTCAAGGGCTTAGCAGAAATATCCCTGGAATGGGCTTTTATTGTATTTATACTGTTATATCTGCCAGTAACTAATGGGGAGAGTCAGAAAGAAGAGTGCTAGGCTGGAGAGGAAACCCTGTCAGAATGATTTATCTCTGCTCGTAGCTTGAATATTCTATTTTTCACTGAAAGTATTTTAGAAGTTTAATCATAAAAAAATCAGGGCTTACAACATTTGATCTTTTGTTTTCTGAGACATTTACAAATCAGAAATGCATTAAACAATTTCTATTGCTAATATATGGTATTAATATTTTGTGCAATGATGTCATTACACATTCATTTATATCATTTTTCCCAAGTACCGTGGAAGAACCTTTTCAAAAAATTAAGAGTTTCTTTATACCAGCATCAAGAGAAGACTGATGCTTTTGCCAGTACACCTTGTTTTTCTCAGTGGAGGGAAAAAGAGTTTCTAAAGTAGAACTTCCCTCAAATACAAAATAGCAAACAAAAAGTAGTAAGTTATTAGTAATTTTCTCCTGAGCCCATTTCAAGTTTAAATATTACCACAGGATTTTTTTCTGGTGAAATAAAACTGTGATTGATTAAAACAGACTATATAACAGTTGTTTAGGAATATTGATGATTTTAAAGAAGTATTCTAAGCGTTGCCTAAAAAAATAAAAGGGCAAATCTCTAGTCACTTCACTATTTGAATGATATATAGAAATTTTTCAAAATCTCTTCAGGCATTTTTGTTGTGAGGTAATTTGACATAGATCTCTGCCATGGCCCATCCCCTTGACAACATTATTCTTTATTTCTCTGTTATAGTATTAATAGAATTGCAGTAATTCATGCCTGTTTCTATTTTAACTAGAATATTAATACTTTTTAATGTCTGTTTTTCATATTCATTCCATTACATCCATAAGAGCAGAAATTTTAAGAAAATTTATACTTTGTTTAGTACTTACCTTAATGAATTATTAAACTATGTATGTATGCATTAAACAAATCATTAAATACTGTGTGCAGACACAGTTTTAAGCACTAAGAAAACAGCCTTCGGTGTCCTCATGGAGCTTACAGGTTGTGGAGCAGGGATTGAATTATTCAAATAAACAGTAATACAGGCCGGGCACAGTGGCTCACGCCTATAATCCCAGCACTCTGGGAGGCCGAGGCCGGCAGATAAGCCGAAGTGGGGAGTTCGAGACTAGCCTGACCAACATGGAGAAACCTCATCTCTACTAAAAATACAGAAACTTAGCCAGGTGTGGTGGTGCATGCCTGTAATCCCAGCTACTCGGGAGGCTGAGGCAGGAGAATGGCTTGAACCTGGGAGGCAGAGGTTGCAGTGAGCCGAGATCCTACCATGGCGCTCCAGCCTGGGCCACAAGAGCGAAACTCCATCTCAAAACAAACAAACAAAAACAGTAATACAGTGTGCTAAGTATTAAGAAAGGAGACATGAGAAAGAAAACTGATAACTTTAAGGAAATAAAAAGTGAGTTAATTACTTCTCTGGATTATCTTGTTCTTATTATATCTCACTCCCTTTCTTTTTCTTTCTTGCTGGCTCGCTTGTTCTCTTGCTTTCTTCCTTTCTTTCTCTTTCTTTCATATATGCTCTGTGATAAATATCTTGTGCATTCCTATGACTGGCTATCAGCCAACACTTTTTTAAAAACTTACATAAATCGTGAGATGATATCTTATATATGCCAAGGTTCAGTCTAGATATAAGTATTTATTATATATTTATTACTGTGATACTTAGGCATTTTGACATGAGTCCTATTTTATCATAATAAAAATATATCTAAGACAAGACCAGTGAATGTGAGGTCAAGCAGATGTCCTGTGTTGCCCTTATTAAAACAGGTAGATGT